CAGGAGTGTATCAATATTGATACACTCCTGATAATACTGCAAAGGATCGTCAAAATAAAACGGGAAAAGTTTATTAATTCGACTAATACTGCAGCATGGTTTCAGCATTTTACCGTTGTACGCTCTCCTTCTTTATCTGCTCTTGATGATATATATAACCAACGTCCACCAAAATTTCTGTCAACCACTGAGCTTTGGGCCCTATGTACAAGTGTTTTGCTAGCTACGTATATTGAGTAAGTAAAGGGTTTATTCCCTGTTGGCCTACTCCCACTTTGCCTATGGCAAAATTGCCATTTCGCCTACAGCAAAATTCCTAGTTGGCCTACACCCATTCCGCCTACTCCCAATTCGTCTACGCTCAAAATCTACCCCATCCCATTTCGTCTACGATCGATTTGTTCATTAAATAATCGTTAATAAATAATAAAATGTGGTTTTGATTGGCATACATAAGCTACAGGAACCAGTAAAAAACATAGGTACAAATAATAAGAACAAAACTTGACAAAAATAGAAAATACAGTAGCATAATGGGAGTAGGCAAAATGGGAATATTGCCGATTCTGAGAGTAGACGAAATGGGAGTAGGCGAAATGGCACGATAGGTGAAATGGGACGATAGGCGAAATGGGTGTAGGCGAAATGGGAGTATAGGCCAACTGGGATGTTGCCAAATAAACAGATTAACTGCACAAATAAACTTCGAATTAAACCAATTACGGTGAGATAAATCAGTTTACTGTAATGTAATCTGAATACATGTTCACCTTCACATTATCAAAATGTACTGGGCATGTACTAGATGCACGGATTCCCAGCTTGTCCTCTTTTGGTCCCACACTCAAGCCTGGAGTGCCTTTGTCCACAATGAAGCATGTGATCCCTTTGTAACCCTAAATGTATTAACTTGAGTTGATTTTCAGCATAGCTGTTTTGAATTATTTGGTTTTATCACGATTAATATTAGGTAAAGACTAAAGATTCAGTGCAATGAATCTCACAATGCAAATATTTTACGTAACTGTAATTCTACTATTTAATCTGTAAATGCTCTAAATGACAAAAAAAAACGTCAACCTCAACCACAAATACCTTTTCAGGAGCCACATTAGCCATGACATAAAATAGTCCAGCTTCATGGGCTTGAGTAATCCATAGTTTTGTGCCATTAATGATGTAAGAACTGCCATCTTTTACTGCCCGTGTCTTTAAAGCAAAGGCATCTGATCCTGATTCTGCCTCAGTTAGACAGAAACTACCAATCTGCCGGGGAGATACAGATATTAGATGAACCGTGCCACGCTGCATAAATTCTGGCTTTTACCTGGTATACACGCAAATCACATTATAGGAACGAAAATCCTAACAACAATAACCAAATTTACAGTCGAAAACCAACAACAAAACCTCTCCAGATGTCAATGAATTTCTTTAAAGGGGTAGAATTAGACACCTAAATAGTATAGCCAGGTTACTACTAACTATAAAATACAGTGGATGTGTGCTTTCAGCTACATAGTTGTTTACCAAACCAGATGAAAGATGACACATTTTTTCTAATAGTACTCACCATATCAGTGCATAATCTTGGCAGGTATTTCTCCTTCTGTTCCTCCGTGCCAAAGTTCTGCATCAAGGACGTGATTAGAGTGTTCTGAAGGTCACAGACAAGTGACACGACGGCGTCAACTTTAGCGAGTTCTTCGATCGCAAGCACAGTCGAGAAGAACGACGAATGAGAGCCGCCATATTTCTCGTCGACTTCAATTCCCATCAACTACAACGGCGAAAATAGTGAGGTGTTTAACCTAGCGCTACTAATGCAGCCATTTACTCGACCATGTGTAGGAGGGGTTTGTCACAGAGCAAAGAGCTACATAGGTAGGACTTGACCCTATCCATGCTTGCATAATGCTCAATGGTTACACATCGTTACATAACAATGCATTAGTCAAACACAGTAATCTATCACCTATCACAGAGGTGGGGTCCATTTCTGGTATATGTCCTGATTAGTGAAACTGTGATGGGTGCATAGAATGTATGTTATACTCCATTTTTAAGGTTACAACATTTGTGACTGAACAAGAACACATTATATCAATGAGTCAGAGAGAAAGAAAATGTTAAGCAATATATATTTTACTAACCCCTTGAGCAAAAAGATCTTTAAATATTGATGGGTCCATCTTTGCTTCTGCATCCATTTGCTTTACTAGTGGCTGGACCTTTTCTGTGGCATACTTCCTAACTGAAAATGCATGTTTATATAGCTCTCATAACACAGAAAAGGTCACAGAATAATTACATTACATATTAATAATTTTCAAATGCTATTATTGCATATTTCAAGATTTTGGATATATACCAACATACCAACATTGTTGAAATTACTATCCAAAAAATGGGATACCAGATCTTTGGGGGGACACCAGATTTCAATACCTGGTATCCCAAATGGATACCATAATAAAAATCTAATTTCGACCCCCCCCCCCAAAGATCTGGTATCCCATTTTTTGGATAGTAATTTCAACAATGTTGGTATGTTGGTATGTTGATATATATCCAAAATCTTGAAATATGCAATAATAGCATTTGAAAATTATTAATATGTAATGTAATTATTATATAAAAACATGAAAACAGATTCACAGATATGCACAGACAAGTACACTGCAGACGTATTGTCTAGACGCATTGTCTGGTTCGCTTGATACAATGTATACACATCACATTTATGATCAACATCGGCCACGCTTACGCTTGCAAATATGCTCAACAACCACTCAAAAAATTCCGATTTTGGCGATTTTTTTTTTACTATCGCGGTGGGATACCAAGCATTGAAATCTAATATCCAACACAAGAATCTACTATCCCGCGGATATCGGGATACCGCTACTTTCGACCCCTGATATGGATCATAATAAATAAATAAACAAATATATATATATTACTATGTTATACTGTGATAGTATACATAATTTATTTATGATACATGCACATGTATTAGAAGGAAATGAATGATGTGTATATTTGTTTATTTCTGATCTTGACAATATATCTGAGGTGACACATACAGCTTTATTACTCTAAGCAGTCACATATCATTTACAAACTGCAAAGCATATTTTGGTAGTGTCCTAGCAATTGCATAATTATGTTAAACCATTGGGCATTGGCCCAAGATGCACTGACAATATGCAATGAAATCTCTACAAAAATCTAAATAAATGGAATAAGACGCAACTGACTACAACCATAAGGCTTAGTACGGTCGACGTCGATATGGTTTTAGTCGCCTCACCAGTATCCCTCATCATTGTCTCCTCTTCTGACAGCCATGTGAGTGGTTTGCTGGGAGTTGTGCAATACAGCGCAGCTGCGTGCTTCAGCGGCTGTTCTGTGCATGGCGCAACAATTTTACACAGACACGGGGAGCTGTGCTTTAAGAACTGCAATTAACAGCAAGAAGATCAAACCTGAATCAAGTAAGGTGAGGCAAGAAAGTGAATGTGAAATAAGGACATACTGTTTACTGTCACCACATCCACATTTAAAATTGTAGTTTTGGTACAGTTGACTGTACCCCTCGTATCAGTATAGACTATACGGCCCAAGGATATAATAGCTGTCCACATTTGCACATTGCGAAAATAAATTGTGGACAGCTCTTATATCCTTGAAGCTAACTATAGTATAGTATAGCATCATGCACGTTCAGTACAGTGAGCAGTCGAGTCGTCACCCAGTACCCGTGTTGAGAATATGTTTCTAGTTTAGTGTATACTAGCGATGCTGATCGCTCACGCCATATTGTCTAAATTTGAGCAACCATCCTTACTAAGGCTGCCAGGGTCTATGTCTCCCTGGATACTGCCGGAACGTACCCTGGTTACGGTCCGGTATACCGGAATGTACCCTGGTAACTATTTGATATGGTTAGGGTTAGGGTTAGGGTTAGGGTTAGGGTTAGAGAGTAGGCGTAGGCGACTCCCTAGACTCGTTAGTGGAGTAGGCGAGGTACGGTCCGGCATATTAGATAGTACCAAGGTACGTTCCGGCAGTACCCTGGGGGACATGTCACATAGACCCTCTCAGCATTACTTAGTAATAGTACACTAGTCACTACACTACTAGTACTAGTACTGCTCATAGGGTCTATGTCACCCTGCGTACTGCCGGAACGTACCCTGGTACTATCTAATATGC